AGCTCTTGGAATTCTTCAGCGGTGGTGTTTACTCCGAAGGCCAGGTACAGAGGTTTTCTGAGCGCCGCCTTGACGTTACGTATCGTCATAGCCTTCAGGTGCTTCCCCTTGTGGAGGAAGGTGAGAAATCGTAGAACTGTATCGTGGGCGATGTCGGTTGTTTCTGCAGGGAGCCACTCTTTGAAGCGCTTCCACTGAGATTGGTATTGGCGCGTGGTCGAAGAACGAACGGCCCTGACTAGTCGTTTGGCGGAGAAGGTGGAGAACTTTTCTGAGTACAGTAAGGTTAGAAACTCCACGCGATCCATTTCCCGCACTCTTCTGATGAGACCAAGCCGACGGCTGTCTTCTGGTGGAGGCGAGTTTGGAGAAGAATGTGTTTCTGCGCTCTCTTGAGGAGGACTGGGTACCATCCGGCTGATGGTCTGTGTGGCGATAGAATGACCCCGTGATGTGTGTAGTCCTGCAGTTTGGGTAGCAACTGCGGTATGAAGTATGGTGGGGGGAAGATGTACACCCCCTGCCACTGATTCCAGTCGACTGCTAGGACATCCGTTGCCACTGCCCCCGGGTACTCGAAGGCGGACACGTACAGGGGTAGTTTGTTGTAGTGTGGACTGGCCATGAGGTCGACCTGTAGTGGTCCGTGCCAGTCCGTGATGGGGAATCTTAGTTTTGGTGGTTTTGTGTCCCAGGAGTAACCGAAAGTGTCCAAGTAAACTTCAAAACTATTTATCACTCGATTGAATAGAAAAATCAGAAATTCCAAAAATAATAATACAATAAAATCTAATGACTGATATATATATATAGCGCTTTTATTGTCTCTTGAACCAAACTGAATCAAACTAAATTGAACTCTTTTGAAGAAACTTGTAGTGAGATCACTGCAGTGATCTCATTTGGTCATGAAATTGCATCAATTTATTTAGTATATTGGCAGTGAAATGCCTTAGAACAATTGTTTGATTCGAATTGTCGGTGGAGTTAATTGCATTACTAATAGTAGAATTCAAAGGAAGTTAAGGGAATCAGCATAATTATTTGAAGGAGTAGCATTTTGATATACGTATGTAGTTTTAGCAATGTCCAAAATTTGATTTTTAATTAGAAATACATTGATTTGAATGATATTAGTCGCGTGAGTAACGATTAAATTTTAGTATGCATTTCGCATTGCCTTGTTTACAAGTTTTCCATAATTGTTCTGTTCGATGCGTAAAAGTTTTTTAAGATTACTCACCCGAAAGCGGCGGTGACGCAGATGGGCATGAGCTCGATGGCGGCAGGCGTGAGGAGCTGGAAGACCTCCTCCTCACTCTGCGTCATCATCTCCGTCGCCGAGTAGTTCACGTAGATGTCTTTCAGAACGTAGCACTGAGGGGCGAGAAATACCTTCACAGACACTAGCTTGATCAGTGTATTTTCTGCACCGGTGTAGCCACCACGGTGTAATGGTATAGACTCCAGTTATAAAGAATATTTATTAATCGAAATTGTTAAAGTAAAAATTATTAGAATTTTTTTGGTAATACTCAATTATTCAGATTATTTTCATTAATAGCAAATTGTTTAATTCAGGATTATCACGCTCATATTTTGTTAGTGAACTTTGCGTTTTGTGGGGTTCTGCGCCTGTATGCGATAATTCTCGAGGCATTTATGGTTTTTGAAAAAGGAGTGATACGAGCGGGAGAAATCAGATAGCACCGGAGAGTCAGAGAAAGATTAGACCATCAGTCGTAAGAGGTTACAAGAGATTACAGGCTTATCACCATTTCGTCCTAAACGATTAAGCTCGTATTAAGCCGGGTGAACGTGACAAGTATCCAACCATTGTATTTGTGTCTACGTAACCCCGCCATTGAGCCTGTGATACCTTGACCCAAGTTAAGTTTTGCCTGCTGATCAAAGATACCTACTTTAGCGTCATCGTGGTGACTTGTCAGTGAACTATGAGAACTATGAGTGATTTTGTGATTTCGTCGGTGCTGTGCAATATCCTAGCGAAGTAAGATTTTCTGATCACCATTGGGTCTGGAACTAACAATGCAACCTCGATCAACAACCTTGATCATTACTGTTCACCGGTTGAACATATATATCCACCCAATCATCATCTATTGTTATTATTTATCTGCCTGGCTATCATTTTAAAATGTTCTTTAATGACATTCGCGGGCCAGTTAAAAAATCCTCCAGAAGGTTGAGCTTAGAGACGGATATTCCTGACAGTGCCGGACTCTTCAACCAGTGACGTCGTCGAGACGCAACAGCTGCGTCATATGGGTACGCCTTCTTACGATAGTTGTCCGTGGCAGTGTCAAGCTCTTTTGTAAAGTTTATAGTTTATAAAATAGGTTAATGGATTAATAATTGGCCTGAACAGAAATGATTCCTGTTAATTAAGAATAATTTGTGTTTTTTGCCAGTTTTTTTCATTCAAATATTAATTTCAAATTCTTTCATTGTGCACCTCTCACGCGTCTTACTAGTCGATTTACAACGCAATGTACAGTAGACTTTCGATCGCAGTCAGTACATGTTAGTGGTTCCCCGCTACAACGTTGCCAATACTTGCGTAATATATGTGGCTACAATATTCGTGAGGCCAATGTCTGAACTTTCTCCCTTTCATATGACAAACCTACTAATTAATTTGATTAATGGAAAGAAAACATGCCATTTGTACTGTGTTTCTTATATGCATTGGAAATGTTTGAGACAAATGATGACAAATTTGTCCAAATGATGCATTGGAACTGTTTGAGACATTGGACAAATGATGAACAATGCTTATGAAGCATGCCAGCGATGACCCTATTATTGTTATCAAAAAACAAAGTAAAATGTATGGAAGATAGAAAAATAAAAGAAGGCTAATTTGTACTCACCTCTGCATTTTTGTAATATTCTAAAATTACGCTCCATTGGACAAATGATGCAAACAGCTTATGAAGCATACCAGCGATGACCTATTATTTTTATCAAATAACAAAATGAAAGGTATGGAAGTTAGAAACATAAAAAACTAATTTGTACATGAGAGGTGCTAGATTAAAAAATCGCATGCACCTGAAAGAGAATTACACTATTTCTGTGTGGATGCAAATTAGTACGTCACTTATTATAATATAATGGACAACACTAATTACTATTATCATATATTATTGAGAATTATCCATGCGTGGCTAGGTCGATTTCAGGTCAGGAGACTCTTCACAAGCTACTTCATCATGAATGCTTTGTGTGGTCGCAGAACATTCGGTAAGAGATTCATGGTAGATTTTGGTCAGTGGAGCAAAGTTCACGCAAGAGTTAGACAGTACTAACTGAAAAGATATATTCTCGATCACATTAGTTTAGGATTTGGGTGTCTGCATGGATGTTTGGTAGCTGGACGGTTACCTAACAATGTTACTATGAGTTCTGTCTCTTAGAGTTCGTTATTACGGTGAGATTTTTTGGTGCAAGAGTCTTCTTTGCTCTTCTGTGGATATAAATTTCTAAGCGGTCACTGTCAGTTTCCTCACTCTGCGGTTAGGTTATTATCATAGTTCGCGTAGTCGCATGTTGGCTTAGTGGCTGTGTGGCATGGCTATGGCAAAGTTTGTGTTGGGCAAAAGTGAGGAGCATAGGCCTAAGCCCACCGCTTGGCGTGTAGGGAAGGCGTCCTTCATGTACTCGAGCTGCTGGATGATGTTGGAGGTCGGGATGTTCCTGGCGTCCACCGCCTGCAGGAACATCGCCGCATCGGCGTCTAAATTCATGTTCACCGCTGACTTGAAAGCTATTTCCGATATCATCAGACCCTGGAAAATATGCAAAGTCAGGTTGCCGAATATTCCTTGTACTCCCGAATTAAATTATAATGTATGAATAAAAGATATCTTATTTGTACTATCCTACAGAAGAGCTGCACTCCACTTGCCAACAAAGTGGGCAAGCCCTTAAATACGTAGTCAAGTCCCAGTATTTGTTTGAATTCTGCGATAGTTTCTCATTTATTTATATCGTTTCGCATACAGGTATGGGCGCTCAAATTAAACTTTGGCGATATAAAAATCGGCGTTTTCCTTTAAGAAGACCACAGGGAGAATAGTTTCGTGTGGGAAATTAAAAGTTTCGTGGGGGAAAACAGCCTATTGTGACTCATAGTAATGCTTTTTAATCTCCACTGATTGGTATACCGAGAATTTCTTGATCAGCCTTCATTTTATATATATTTATCACCGAAAACTAGTTACATGTAGGCATGCTAACATGTTGAGTGATAATACCAAAGACTAACAATTCCAATGGAGGCGTTGTAGTAAGGAATGAGAGGAGGCAAAAGTCTTGAATTACTCAGCTGTCATGATGGTTATTGCGGTAATTAATAATGAGAGGCGGAGCGAATTAGTTCCAGCGGAACGCTGGCTATTCATCGGCCACCTAAAAATGTTGCCCGAAATGAGTGTCATCTATATACAGGGTGCGGCGCGGGAACTTACTTATTTGAATTGCGCGCCACGTGGCGGCCATTAGTCCTAGGAAGGTGGCTCTACAAGATGTAATATTCAAGAATTAAACTTGTAAGTAAACCCAACGAAACTTTAAATGTAGCTCTTTGTAAAAAAGAAAGAATTAAAACGCTATCTTTAATACTTTTTACTTTGTGATTTTTTTAAAAGAGTAAGTTCCCACGCCGCACCCTGTACTACCTGACCAACGCTTCATGCTTGGGAGTAGCAACTTACCGTTTTGAAAAGTGATTTCATGTCAATGGATTGCGTTATGTATTATTTCATGAATTCACGGATTTCGTGTCGTAGTCTGGGGGCTCGCTGTGGAGTTCGGTCGGGTTTGATTAGGTGTTTGACTATGGTTTGATTTAATTCTGTAACAGAACCTTACAGTACAGGTAAAAACAAAAAATATTGTCCCAAAGGAGTAAATCGAAATAAAGCTTGAGTGTCTGCGAATTAATGTAATTCTAAAAAATTCAGATATCTACTTACCATCTTGGAAGAGGGGGGCATGCCGATGGCTATCGCCTTCAGGGCGGTCTTACTAAAATCTCTGTAAACATCGATAGGGATGGCCTCCTTAGCGTTACCGGATAAGCGAGCCAGTTGGTCCGGGTGAACCTTGAGTTAGAATCAAATAACTTCGTTAGGTTTTTTAATACAATTTGGTTCATTTGATAAATATTATCACAATTAGTTGGGAAAGGCTATATTCAAAAGCTGTCGATAGTAAATGGTCTATTGTATGAATTTAAATGACTTATAAACAACCCATAATAATTTTAGATCAGCATGTTCTAAATTGTCGATTATCCCTCTCACTTCGACAAGATGACTGTTTTGTGGTTTACATTATGAAGTGATAAACGCTTCCTCGCTCCATTTTCATGTACATACATTCTACATACTATTGCATGTTATCTTACTGAATTTTTAATTCTGATAGAGTGCACTAAATGTTCTGATAGTTTTACATGAGCACAATTCGCCAACTTTGATATTAGCTTGAATATGTAAACTTCTTAATTACGATGAATAAAACAGCAGCAATATCACAGTAATCTTAAAATCGCACATTAAAAGGTGGACATTTCGATAGGTTGTCGTGAATAAACATTTCTTTTATTACTGTTCGCAAATTTTACGGAATTGAATCGCATATACAACTTATTTAATTTTCCAAAAAATTACACTCACGGCTGAAACAAGTATGGCTATCTCAGCCGTCTTGTACAAGAAGAAGCTTCGATCCAGCATTTCGATACTCCCATCTGAGGTTTTGTTTTGAAATGATTCAGTGCTTATCGTGTCCAGAAGCTCGTCAGGGATGACATCCAGTTGCAGCCAATTTTGCCCCACGCGCCACACTTCGTCGTGGATCATCATCAGCTATTAGTACAAGTTCAAAAAATTACAAGTGACACAAGTTCATCAGCAATCACTTTACAATACAATACCACTAAAATTCAAACAATATTCAATACAACTATATAATGAGTCTTTCTTTTCAGAACCATTACTCCACAATTAGATGCCATTTTACATCACCTCAAAACATCAGTCACAGTGTAAGGAGCAGCCCTGCAAAACTTAAATATTTAGCCTGCTATATAGGATATGTTTTTTATTTCTAATTTTAGTTTCAAGTCACTTACACCGGCATTTGACAAAAGCAATCGTTGGTGTTTTGCATTAAAATTTGTGATACGAACCTAAAGACATTAGTTCACTTTCTTCGGTCACAGGTCTAATGTCTGTATTCATTGAAGGCTTTGTTTAACTCATTGATTTCATTCAGATAATAATCTCGGTCCCATGCACCTACCTTAGCCCTGACTGCGTTGCCTGCCGTGTTCTGAACTGCTTTAACGAGCTCTGCGAGGTCATCGAAGTCCATGGAGTAGTCAGTGAGTGCCTGTTTGAGCACCAGGCCTGGTGCCAGCGCTAGACGGCTCATACCTGCGTAGAATGTGACATACTCATAGATTGTTTGCAATATGTGTGAAGAAATCAAACGTAATCTTCGATGACTCTAAGTGACTTCATTGCTTCAAATAGCTCTATAAAGCTTATGAAAATAAACAGTGACTCTATACGAAGCTTCAAAAACGTGTATGGTCTAGCACTAACGCAATTCGGTTCAAAAAGATCAAACCATTGACTTATTGGTTATCAAGACTTCAAGAGGAAAGAAAAAGCGTATATATTTTAGAGAATTCAAATACAATTAGCAGAGAAAATCATAGTTTACACGAAAAAAAGTAGTACTGAAACTAATTAATCTTGGTATCCACAACGAGGTTCAGCCCTGTAATCCCTGATAAAGCTGTCTTCGACTATGTATAGTTCTTACAGTATGGGACCCTGAACCAAGTTTTCACTCACCTTTGGTCTCAATTTAAACCCTCCCGATTCAACCTTAGACTATCACACATTTCTCATCGCATGTGCTTCTTTACATGAACCAAAGATGTTACAACTTCTAACTGTTGTAATATCAGTTCAGCTTACCGTCATTTATACAGGGTCAAATACTAAAAGATTTTCCCATCTCTTTTTCGTTTTCGTGACTTCCGTCTTTTTGAAAGACCTTGCAATAAATAAATATTTGGTTATTTGTAAGTCTGATAAAGTCCGATGCTTGATATTGGTTAATGGTATCCGTTATACCAGCAGCCTATACGTTCAAATCTCATATCCTCCTGAATTTATTGAAATTCTTATTTCAATCTCTAAAAAATTTTGAAATTTCAAGATGAAATTAACAAATTAATTGGTAAACTATTCAAACTCTACCACCGTCGCTCCCGAAACTTACTCTTATCTTCAAGTTCCTGGATCATTATCAGGGCATTTTGTGCGGTCGGCCTGAATTCATAAGCCTAATTTCGCTTCGAAATTTTAATTACTTACCAATTTTAGCTGCATATAATGCCGACAATTCCAAAAATTCTAAATTTTTCAGTACCCGCGTTGGATTGTCTTACGACTAACCAGTTTACTGTTGATACTACGTACACGTTTTTTGTTGACCGTACACATTTCTTCATCACCCAACTTTGTCTTCGTTTGATGTCAAAAATTTCATCGCTTATGCCGAAACTATTGAAATTAGTCTCAAATAATTATTTTAATTGATGGATATTTCTATAATTATCCGTTAAGAACTAATTTTTCGTTTTCATCGTGCATTTGTGAATATTTCAATGGGCATTTGCGATGTTCTTGGTTAGGAGGTTAGCTGGTTGTTCAAATGCCTTTTAGCCAACTTTTTACAATAGGTATGTTGACACCTTTCTAATCTTCAAGCATCCCTCTCATGCGGGCTTCTAATAGCTCATCGTTCACACAGCTTGTCTGAAACAGGTACCGGAGAGTTTTGAAAAAGATGATTTAGGTAGTCGTGAAACGTTTCCACTGATGGTGAATTTAATTGGCGTTTTCCTTGCGTCTATTGATTATCAAATGATGCAATCCATCCCACATTCATTGACTATCTCCTGCAGTTGATCTTCTGCACCACTCACCTGAGTTGCATAACCTCTAGTCTCACAGGAGCATGAATATTCGCCATGGTTGCATCTCGGATACAGCAACTGGTTCAAACACAATTACATCCCTTCCTATGATGGGACCAAATTCTCTAATAATTTCTAATAAATAATTAACAATAAGAGTTTGTTGACTTAAATTAAGCATGATAATTGTGATGACTATCTGAAGTATTTAAAGATGCCAGTCGAAAGATTTAACATGTTATTGTACGTAGTTAAAAATTTTATTGAGAAAAGTTGAACCATTCCTAACTTCCGCTGCATGGAAAAATTATCTCGTCGGATCCCAGAGTGCCATATATTAGTGAATTGTTGCTCGAGCGTTGCCCACAGCAAGCAGTTGTGGGCATGACTCGGCTAGACTTTATTTTGACCTGCTCGGCTCGTTAGGCGCTATACACAGGCAAATTGGAGGTATGAAGATGAGCCTTTGAGTCCGACTCTAAAGTGGATTAAAAATTAAGTCTTTAACGAACCACGCTACGGTTGAACATCTTCCGGTGAGTCAAGGCGTTTAAATAGTAATCAATGACATTTAGTTGGAAGCAATTTATCGAACTCTTTGGTTAGACATCATAAGTGAATTTCATCGTCGTCGTCGTCGCCGTCCGTTCGTCTGGGGAGACGATAGAGTAGCTTTCGTCTATTCCTGCATCGCATAGAAAGGCTGTACAGACCAACCATGGAGTGAAATTCCAATCCGCACCCGTCACAAGTGCAGGCGGATGGATGTTGCAGTTACGTTGACCGCCGTTTCCGTCTTAACTTCCTTTGAGAGTCGCTAAAGCGGCGCTTGACCTCATCGCAAGACACGGCCACAGCAAGCCTCCAGCCTTGGCTGGACTGTTTGGCAGTTGAGAGTGTTCAAAGCCGTACAACAAGGATAATTCCGGGATTAAAAGGCGAGTCTTATGGAGAAAGAATAAAGATTGTGAAGGCTCCAAGTTTCTGTTATCGACGTCTGCGTGGTGACCTCATATGGAGGTATACATATATAACCACGATTTTTACAAAGTCCCAGAAGGAGTCCTAGAATTTCAAACAAGAATCAACACCAGCGTTAAATGTAACATCGCATAGATGTTACAACTGCGTTGTAACATACATGCGACAACATTTCTTCTCGCTTCGAGTCACCGAAATGTGGATCAGCCTTCCTGATGGCACCGTTGACGCTCCGAGCATGAACGGCTTCAAGAACAGACTAGACGAAGCTATGCAGGAGCATATGTTCGGTCTTGAAATGCCTAGCACTTTACGGACCTGGCAATGAGTCCAACAACTATCTCACACAATCGTCAGTTATGGAAAGATCGAATTCGAAAGGCCAAATCCCTTGAGAATCAAACGGCGAAAAGTTCAAGACCCAACAGGCCATGGGCCAATTTCTTCAGCTGCTAGGATCTCCGGCTAGGTGGGGTCGATGCGGCACCGTCCCCCCTCAAAGTCCTCCATGCAAATTGCAAGCCTTGAACACGCACAGCTTGGTCTTCACGTTGAGGCTTGAGTTGTTCCAAACACGCTGAGTTAATTTGGCCATGACTGTGGAAGCCTTGGCGATCTTGATGTTAATCTCGGGGTCGATGGACAGCTAACTGGAGATAGTGGACCCAAGATAGGTAATGTTCCTAACGATCTTCGGGTGTAGGGTGTAACCATCCAAAATAATGCTCGTGGTGTCAGCCTGTCAGGTCCTGTCTTTCCCAGGCTGATGGTCAGGCCAAACTCTCTGCAAGCTTGCTCAAAGCGAGTGATAAGCAGCTAGAGTCCTTCGGTTTGTGATCCCAAGGCCGAAGGGCATCTTTCGGATTAGCACCCTGGTGACCCTGAACTTGGCCCGAAGACGGAGTACCTTGAATTTCTTGCCGTCGTGTCTGATGTTCATGTATGCAATGTATCCTCGGTATGCGATACCTCATTACATTCCGCGAAGGCGTGTCGAAGAAGCATGGAGAGGAAGATGCCAAAGAGCGTGGGCGCGAGCAAGCGGTCATGCTTCACTCCGCTGCTGACTGGAAAAGCCTATTAGGTCACACCGTTGAAGCAGACGTTTGCCGTGCGTCTG